CAGAGCAGGAAGACCAGACCAACAGGGCTGTTTCTTATTTGGACGCAGTTGGACTGCCAGTCAAATGCAGAAACAAGCGTCAGCGAGGCAGGCTAGTTTTTCTTATTTATTACCATTCTCCTTTGAAGAGAGCGAGAACACTCGAACTCATCTCCAAGCAAGCCTCAGCGAGTCCCCAGCCTCCCATGCTTGTACGGGAGTTTTCCCACTGGGCATACAGAGCCATTTAGGAGCATGGAGGATACCGCAGGAAGAGGTGCAGAAACAGGGTGATAGTTTAGAGAGGAGGAAAGTCAGCCTCAGCTGCAGCCAACAGCCTCCCAGCCCTCCTGAGCATCAGGACACTCAGGGAAGTGCCTGCACAGCTGCCCCACGTGCCACCTCCATGTGCCACCGCAGCAGCTATGGGACTTTTGGGGCTGCAGGTTGCCATCGCCCCTTAAAACTTCTCCCACCCAGAGGTGCACCACGCACCCTTGCCCTTCATCTAAGGAAGGCACCCAATGCACTGTAGTCTTCCTGCTATCCAGCACTTTATCATCCACCACGTTCCCAAGTAGTTCAAACATGAGGAGCTTAGATACTTTCCAGAGGTTTTTCTCCTCTGGAATTCATTTGACATAGGTTTGAATAAAGCCACACTTCCACCTTGCATGTTGTAAAGCTCATTTGTCCAGACAGACCTGCCAAGAGAAGTGCCTTGGGCTTCCCTGGGGATGAGCATCCTCTGGATGTTAACCGCCTGACTATGGCTACTGGAAGTGCAGGAACCTGGATGCCTTCACAGAATCTCGCTGGCAACTTAGAAGATGCTTTCCCCATCAGCACAGCACATTTATTTCTCGACAGATGAAGGGAGAAGCTGCTTCATGCTTCACCTCAGTCCTGAAATAAATAAAAAGCTACAAAAATACTGTCGTGCCTAAACCCAGGGATTTTAAGAGCATAAAAGCTTCTGAGTCAGACCGTAAATCCAGCTTGCTTGTTATTCTAACTGACAGTGGTTAACAGCAATTGCTTAAGAATAAAAGCATACTGGCACGGAGCGATTCTTACCATATTATATGCTTCTTCCAGCTTCAGGCAATGAGTAGTTCGAAGACCTTCCACTTGGCCCGTTGTGCATTAAGCATAGATGGACCCATTCTCCATGATTTTATTTGACCTCCCCTCCTTCTCCACAAACCCCTTTCCAGCCTTCCCACCACCCTTACTGTCTTCTACAGTAATTACGCACTCTGTGGAACTTTCTGCTAGCACCGTTCTCAGGTTCGCTGTGCTGTTATAGATGCTGAGGCACAGAACTGAGGTCAGAGCAAACAGCCATGGCTTGTTGTGAGTAACTACACATGAAAATGGATCCAGGCCTCCTGACTCTCAGTGCAGTACTCTCATCACAGTCTTTGCTGCATTAGGAAATGGAAACCAAGCCCACTGCTCAAAAAGAGAAAGAAAAGATCCCCAAGGATGTAAAAAAACCAATACAAATTAAAAAAAAAAAAAAGAAAGAAACCTGAAACGATGGCATTTTGCTGCCCTAAGAGGTAGGGCTGGGCTCATGTGATGAACAAGGCAGGGAAAAGGTGTTTGCCAACTAAATATAGGAAACCCAGCACCTGAAAAGAGGGAGCGAAAGGAGCCTGAAGAACTCTTGGCAAACTATGCCAGGGGTTTGAGCCATTTAAAACTGAGAAGTTTTGCTGAAGCTGATGCTCAGCGAGCAGCTCGCTATCTGCACAAAGCAGTGGGAGTGAGCAATGGGAATCAGCACAGCTGCTCTGTGCCTGACATATCAAACCGGGGTGGAAATCCCACCATATGACTTTGGGGATAATGTTAAATCCATTACAGCACTCTCCCCTCCCCTGCCCATCCTACACAAGCTTCAAAACTTCTGGTTTATGACTGGCTGCTAGCGGATAATTGCAGGCTGTCTCTGGAGGGATAATCCTAAATTTTAAGTGACAGTTCATGGGCATCTTCTCTTTCTTCTGAAATGCTGTCTTACACAGCACATTAAGTATTTTGGAGATTAATAACTGGAGCAAAGAGTTCTAATCTTGGTGTCCTAGTGGAGATTTAGTGAAGAACGGTTAGCGTTTGAAGTTGCTATGGCACAGGAAACATAAGCAGCCTTGAAGACCAAAAGCAAGGCTCATATGCAGCTCAAACGGAAATCTGGGACGTTAAACACGTGATCTATGTTTAGTCTCCAGGGCTTCTCACTGACGTGGTGTTTCCACTCGGAGCAGGTCTTAAGGACCTGCAAAACGGGGAACCCAGTTTGAGCTCTCTTTTAGATTAAATAGACCAAGCTCACCACGCCTGTTAAATTGCAACTTGTACTTTTGTATTCTTTGACCTGAATTAGGTGATAACTGAATTGTATAATAAGGTTACAGGTTGCTTTTAACCTAATACACTGAGGACCAAGTGGGAACCACTTGACCATCACTGAACTGGCAATTGCACTTTGTCAGCTTGCGGGACACCCGCCAGGATAAACGCACTACAGATTCTGAGGCTGTGTGCACAGCACCTCACTCAACAGCAACCCTACGATCGCTTGGCAAAGGCCCTCACAGCCTCAGTTCAAGTTTCCTGTCCACAGAGTGATCTTTTTTCAGTAAAGTTTTCTCGTTGTAACAATTCCTCCTACTGCTCCTCACACAACCAGAAGTCCCATTAAAAAGGAGCCAAGCAGGTCCCTTACTGGCCTGCTGCCCTGTCAGCGGCATAAGCCAACGAACAGATGAAATAGCCCAAGCTCCTTCTGAGTTTGGTGAGCCCTGTGCCAATTATATGGAAAACAACCAAATTCTGCACATGGGTATGAGAAAACCTTGCCACAAGCGTCACAATGGTGGAGCTCCACAAGGACTCCAACCAACACGACTGTCAAAAATAGCACTGTTGCATTCTCATGCCCTCAGCACCACGCACTCCTTCCATTTTTCTCCTGCCAGCACCAATGCTCACGTAGCACCACAGCGAATCATATCGGGGGCTGAACTTCAATGGGTAAAATTAATCCCG